CTAGCATGCTGACAACCTTTTGTAACCATCAGCGATGAAGTGACATTTTGCGCAGTCGGGATTGCACATTCTTGTAGACCAATGTGTGTTGAGCGACCTCCTGGGCAGTGGCTCGACAACCTTTACGTTATGTTCTATATACTTCTGCTTTTGATTGACACATGGATTGATTGTTTCCAGAGTAGGCCTGCTCCTAAAGCCTTGTGCCGTAAAGTTTTCAGTCTTCCCACGTGTCCTTGACGGTTGAAAAGTACTTTATGTCGTTTAGTTGAACCAGGATGGTGAGCAATTGACTATAACGCTTGACAAGCCTCCTTTTAAATTGAGCCTACATTGCACCACCTGTTGGAGTTTACGTCAATGTTTACAGTATGGTACGTCACGGGTAAGATCCCATAATACCCCCTCCATAGATTGTCTCTTAACTGTACAGGGCGGCCAATGAGTATGGAAAAAACCTAAAAAAAGTAAAACAAGTTTTAGCCATCTAGAAATCACTATTAATGTATATGATAGGTTTCCAGGAAATAAATAGCATACCTGGTCAGAGTCTACATGAATTTTGCATGTTGTGCAAATTTCTGAACCTCCAAGCTGGTTATCTACAAACATAAAATCGAGTCATTTATTTAAATTAATATAATATAATCTAAATCTAACCCTCCCTACACACACCATAAACACAATAATGTTATACAAAAGCCTCCTGCTTGGATACCAAAGATAACTTAGAGTCCCGGAAAAATTAATCTGCAGAAATAATTAAGATCCCTTACATGTGGAAGTGTTTCTCCTATTCAGGATCAAAACTTTCAAACACTTATTCACACCAAGTATTTTTCCCTTACAGTTTGCGTATATCGTTTTTATATGCATTGTGAAAAAAAAAAACCCAGTAATATCAAGTATAAGCAATGCGTAATATCAATCATACACATAAATTATCAAGATTCTACCCAAAAAACAATGTACACAAATTGAAAATTTAGTCGAGAAATCAAACAAAAATTGAATGTTTTCAAGAATCCATACAAACACAGAAAAATTTCAAGAAATCATACAAAAACTGAAATTCAGTTAAGAAAAAATACATGACTGATCGAAGAGATTGCTTCCAGAAGACCTCTGCTTTTTGGTTCCACCTTCCACCACCTCCGTTTTCCTCTTCACAGAAATAGTCACAAATAATGTGCTTCTGTCAGCAGTTCTTCCGAGGACGCAATGGTGTTGCGGGCGACGGAAGCGTTGACGACGACGGAGGACAATCCACCCAGAATGAAGTCGCAGGCGACTAAGGACAATTGAGAAGAGGTAAAAATGGGAGGAAAATGGGATACTGAGTGGTGAAGCCCTTTTTCTTTTTGCTTCACCACTCAGTATCCCATTTTCCTCCCATTTTACCTCTTCTCAATTGTCCTTAGTCGCCTACGACTTCATTCTGGGTGGATTGTCCTCCGTCGTTGTCAATGCTTCCGTCGCCCGCAACACCATTGCGTCCTCGGAAGAACTGCTGACAGAAGCACATTATTTATGACTATTCTGTGAAGAGGAAAACGGAGGTGGTGGAAGGTGGAACCAAAAAGCAAAGGTCTTCTGGAAGCAATCTCTTCGATCACTCAAGTATTTTTTTCTTGACTGAATTTCAGTTTTTGTATGATTTCTTGAAATGTTTCTGTGTTAGTATGGATTCTTGAAAACATTCATTTTTTGTTTGATTTCTCGACTAAATTTTCAATTTGTGTACATTGTTTTTTGGGTAGAATCTTGATCATTTCTGTGTATGATTGATATTACGCATTGCTTATACTTGATATTACTAGGTTTTTTTTTTTTTTTTTTTTTTTTTCACAACGCATATAAAAACGATATACGCAAACCGTAAGGGAAAAATAATTGGTGTGAATAAGTGTTTGAAAGTTTTGATCTTGAATAGAAGAAACTCTTCCACATGTAAGGGATCTTAATTATTTCCGCAGATTAATTTTTCCGGGACTAGTTTATCTTTGGTATCTAAGCAGGAGGCTTTTGTATAACATTATTGTGTTTATGGTGTGAGTAGGAAGGGTTAGATTTAGATTAGATTATATTAATTTAAATAAATGATTCGATTTATGTTTGTAGATAATCAGCTTGGAGGTTCAGAAATTTGCACAACATGCCAAATTCCTGTAGACTGACCAGGTATGCTATTTACTTCCTTGGAAACCTATCATATACATTAATAGTGATTTCTAGATGGCTAAAACTTGCTCTAAATTTTTTAGGTTTTTTCCATACCCATTGGTCGCCATGTACAGTTAAGAGACAATCTATGGATGGGGTATTATGGGATCTTACCCGCGATGTACCATATTGTAAACATTGACACAAACTCCAACAGGTGGTGCAATGTAGGCTCAACTACGGCTGGTTCGGTATGGGATACCGAAACCCTTGTCCCGATTCCCAAACCGAAGTTTTTGGAAATCCCAAATTCAAGACCGATCCCAAACCAAATTTTCGGGAATCCCAAATTTTTGGAATCCAGAAATGGTTTCGGGACAAATCGGAAATCCCAAAATAATTTTGGACTATTGGTAATCCCAAAACTACAACTAACTCAAACCGGTTTCAAATCAAAATCCCTATTTGTAATTTGTAAGTGTTAACCAAATGAAAAAAAAAACTCAGAAAACAAAACCTATATTACCAAATATGAACCCAAATGATACATGTAATCTGAATAAAAAGAAAAAGAGTTCTAAATTTATGTTCACCTAGAAGTTAAACTCAAATCCTTTAACTAAAAGTTAGCTTTATAAGTCACACACACACCCTGTATAATAATATCTAAACATATATATAGAGCGAGAGAGAGCAAACCCTAAAACCACCAAAGTAGAATTCCAAAGCTTTCAGAGATCAGGGAACAACTTGTAAGGATGAAACCTTCTAGGAACGAGATGATGCAAAGCGAGAAGAAGCAACAAAAATTATTATGAAAAATTTGGGGTTCCTATTCCATCTTTACTCCTCAATTCGAGCGAATTTAATTCTGAGTTGTGGGGATCTATAATTTCATTTATGTTTACTTTTCATGTGGTTATGATGTTGAATCATGACCGTTGCATAGGTGGTGATCATGATATGTGTATGGTCTGCACAAGTCCTATCACATTTTTGGGTAAAATCAACTACCTGGGGTCGAATGGTTACAAAAATTTCATGAAAAAGGAACCGGATCTCCTCCTGAGCATAGGGTGGGGATCCTCCTGACCGGGCTATCTGGACTATTAAAATTTGATCAAACGGCTACAATAATTATAACTTTTAGAGAGTCTCATGTTTGTAGCTGTTAGATCAAATTTCAATGGTCCAGATGACCCGGTCAGGAGGATCCCCACCCAATGTTCAGGAGGGATCCGGTTCCAATGAAAAATAAACAAGAGAAAATTTGAAATATGTCCAATTTTATAGGCTTACTTTTGAAATAAGTCCAATTTTTAGTGATTTTTACTTTTGAAATAGGTCCAATTTTTAGTGAATTTGGACCCATATCAAAAGATCCCGATAAACAAAGTAGAGCAAAAAGCACATCAAAATGTGGAGCTGCAAAACCCTTGGATTAAAAAAATGAAAATTTAGATGTTATCCATTAGAGATTTACAACCCACCAACTGAACAAAACCCACATAAATGTTTCAAAGAATTAGACTTTCTAAGACCCTTTTGGAGCAACAAAGTAAAAACCCAAAAAACTTTACCTTGCAAATCCAATTATCCAACAACCAGAGAAATGAAACCAGGTAGGCCTGCAAATTACAACAGGTAAAGGAGTGGTGCAGTCAGTGCTATAAATCTCAAGATTGAAGAAAACCTATTAAAGCATTCAAGATAAAATAGCAGAGAAAAGTCATGACACGTGGTGTAATAAGATTGGTTGAAAATCTTATCATAATCTTAGCTAAATTATTGTAAACAGATAATGACACGTGGCGCGTCGGGATTGGTTGCAAATCTTAGCGGAAATCTATTCACAAAATAGTACGTTTGGATAATAATACGTGACGTGACGAGATTAGTTAAAAATCCTATCCGAAATTAAAAATATTTTATTTATTTATTATTTTATAAAAAAACTAATAATATTTTAAATGGGCTGGGTGCCAGCGCATTTTTTTTAGGGGTGGAGATGCTTTGGCGTATTATTGTTCATTTGAGTATGTTATTGTTCACTGAGTGGATAAATGGACTGGGTGCTGGCCCATTTGGGTGGAATTGTTCTTAGCACTGTATGCCGGAGGAGTCCCGTATTTTTCTAATGAAGAAAGAACAATGACATTCATTTTAAAGTCTTGTAGCCTTTAGAAAAAGATGCCAATTAGATGCTTAACACCGGTAGATTCATTTGGTTGTTTTTTTCTTGGCTTATCCAACCAGCATATGCCCATTCCTCCTTTGCGGATGTGGATTGAAAGGAAGTTGGGGATGGACATAGATCCTTCCGCCTATCCAAAGAAAGTAATGGTTTTTTTTATTTATTATTTCCGACTATTACAATTCCAAATATATATTTAAAATTAAATAATATATATATTTTTTATTTCGGTTCGGTTCGGGATTATCGAACAAAATGAAAAGTGAGACTGATTCCTGTACCGAATTTTCAGGATCGGTTTTGGATTTTCAATTTGAAATTTTTTTGGTTTGGTTTTGGAATTTTTTCAATTCGGTTTGAAATTTTCGGTATTTTTTTCCAGCCCTACTTTTAATTCCACTAGGCCTTGGACATCCCGTTCTTCTTTAGGCCTTGACTTTTACTAGGCTTTTTGTGGCCCTTTTTTTTCGACCTATACTATTTTTAGGGATCGAAAAGGATCTCGCGTTAACACCCCTTCCCTTAAAATAAAATATATTGTTCCAATTTGTAATAGAATATCATTGTCATAAAATAAAATAAAAAATTGGATGATGGGACCCTTTTAAAATTTGGGGTGGGTAAAAGAGTTGGACCTTGGCCGATACTCTAGGCCTTTTAAAGGCCGCCTTAAACCTTTCGCGTTCTCGCTCGTTACCTGTAAACCCTAAACCCTTGCATCTGCTGCTGGGGCCTGAATCCTCCGCATCATCCTCATCACCGTTTCTCCACCGTTGCGACAGCCACGTTCCTCACCTCTCACTGGTTCGTCTCTCCTCGTCTTCCACCTCCCCCTTCTTAGATGAGATTCTAGGTCACCGCCCTCCGCCCAACCATTTGCAGTTCGGGATCGAAGCAGATCTCGCAGCTCCGCCTTTTTATTTGCTCAAACTTAAGCAATGGCTGAATTGCTTCAAGTTTATATTGCTTTTTCTTTTTTCTTCCATGAATTTGATTTTGAATGGACTATTTTGGTGCTTGGCATTTTTCGTTCCCGAATCCACATTTTTGTTCATTTTTTGTTTTTTATTTTTGGTATTTTTTTTTTCAATTCTTTATGTTTTCACAGCGAGAGTGAATATGAATTTCAACAACGTTAAGGTTCCGAAAGTTCCCGGTGGTGGTGCAGTTTCTGCTTTGCTTAAGGTTGGCATAATTGGTGGGCTTGGCTTGTATGGAGCTGCCAACAGTCTGTACAATGTCGAGGGAGGGCATCGAGCCATTGTGTTCAACCGGATAATCGGTGTCAAGGACAAGGTTATAGGTCTAATCTCTACTGTTGCATTTTATCTGTATTTCAAGGTTATACTTGAGTAGATTTTATGAACGAAGTTGCATTTTCAAATGTAGTATTACTGTGGCTTGATTTGAATGGCCAGCCCCAAAAGCTCTTGACTTTAATAACCATATTTATACGGGGTTATATGCTATCTGTTGAGATGGTTCCAACAGAGATTAGCGATCCTATGTGAAGAGAAACTTCCCAGGATGCTTGTATCCTTTGTAGACAATTTATCCTAAATGAGGTTCGCCCCTCCAGTTATAAAACTAATGGGGTTTACCCGAGTCATATGCTTAATTTGTTCAAGTTAAGGACGAGTCTAACACACCTGTCGACTTACTTTGTGTGTGTGAAACGTCTTTCAGGTCTATCCAGAGGGTACACACCTCATCATTCCATGGTTTGAGAGGCCAGTCATTTATGATGTCCGTGCACGACCTCATCTAGTGGAGAGTACTTCTGGGAGCCGTGATCTCCAAATGGTTGATATCTTTTTCCTTCCTTGCTGTTAAACGGAATTTTGACAACTTCATGGCTTGTAATTTTGACAATAGATAAATCTCTATTCTGTTTTATGTATGTGATGTATGCATAGTGTTAGCATTTAAAACCGTATCCTCTTATGTTCAAAACATGTCTTTTCATCAGGATATACTTTCAAACAAGTTTTAATTACAGAGACAATTTAGTTATTTCGGTTTATGTTGTCTGCAGTCCTTGTCCTCAATGTTAAATTTTTGTTTTCTCATTGTGCTGTCCAGGTGAAAATTGGGCTTCGAGTGCTTACTCGACCTCTACCAGACCAGCTGCCTACAGTTTATCGGACTCTTGGTGAGAATTACAATGAGAGAGTCCTTCCTTCCATTGTTCATGAAACTTTGAAAGCTGTTGTTGCACAGTATAATGCTAGTCAGCTCATTACTCAGAGAGAGGTAGGGAGAAACCCTCTTACTATACATATGTTCATTTTCCTTTCTAGTCAATTTGAAGTTTTCCCCCCTTTTTTTCATACCTTGTCCACTTGTATAGTTAATAGTTATTTAGATGAAGAGGTAGAAGTTCAAATGTTTCCTTAGTGTTGATTATTCTTTTTATGTTTAGACTGTCAGTAGGGAAATACGAAAGATTTTGACTGAAAGGGCTGCCAATTTCAACATTGCGCTGGACGATGTGTCAATTACAACTCTTACTTTTGGGAAGGAGTTCACGGCTGCAATTGAGGCCAAACAAGTGGCTGCACAGGAAGCTGAGAGAGCCAAGTTTGTTGTGGACAAGGCTGAACAAGACAAGAAGAGTGCTATCATCAGAGCAGAGGTGAGTTATAACACATTCTCAATACAGATAATATCTACTGTTCTTGACTTAATTGCAATTTTACCAGCCATTAAATCGAAAGTATTGGTTTTTAAGCGTATAGCTTGCTGAAAGCCATGGGAAAGCCACATGCATGAACCAACTACTTTATAGATCCTAAATCAAAATGTATCCCTAATTTTCATTATATTATGCTCATCGTTGAATTAGCATCAGTGATTTTATTTCTTAGTCCTGTGATGATCTTTAGAAACAAATCATACAAGTCCGTATATAGAATAAATTTGCATTTTACTAGTTGCGTCCAAGTACTCCATTTACGGGGAATAAGATGGACATAAAGTCGCAATATTCCTATATGAATGTGGGTGTTCCTCTTAAACTTTTGTTTTGCTTAAATCATTTCTCTGTTGGTCAGGGAGAGGCGACAAGTGCCAAGCTGATTGGTGAAGCTATTGCAAACAATCCGGCATTTATTACACTGAGGAAGATTGAGGCTGCAAGAGAGATTGCACATACAATCTCAAATTCCGCAAACAAAGTTTCTTGAACTCAGATGATCTGTTGCTGAACCTTCAGGAGATGAATTTGGATGTCAACAAGAAGAAATAGACACTGCAGGTTGGACTTGTAATAATTTCGTTTCAGATTGTAAAATTGTGGAAATAGTTCCTTGAAGAGTTGAGCAATGGACCTTAGAGTTTACTTGTCTTTTGATACACCGCTAGTTGGCATGGCAATTGCTGTTCGCAGAGATAAATTTTGAACACTTAATGGAACTTTTCTGATGCAATTACTTGTAGGTGTTTCACATGTTATAATATCTGATGTTCATCCCGTCCCTCTATATTTTGCTCCATTTATGGTTGATAATTTTGTAAATTTCACTCATAGGCATGCCCTTCTTGAGCCTTCAAGGTGTGGCTTTTACCGGAGAAAAAATTTGGCCGGAAGTGTGCAGGCCGAATAGGCAACGGTATTTACTCTCCATTTGCGCTACTAGTATTTTGCAAACAGTTGATCAGTCATGTGACTTCCAAACTGTTTCTGAATGATTCCCTCGCAAATGACCTTTATGCCTGCAACTGAAACCCACTGTTTATCTTCGTCAATCTTCTTCTTTGGTAGCTCAAGGCATCCGTTTTCTCTTATGCTAAAATCTCCATTTTTATTTGTTTTTTCCATCACTCTTGCAAGTGAGGGAAAACATAGTGGCATGTTCAAAGTGTCCACATTGTTCTATTATTGACACGGGACGCTATACTAAGAGGAAAAGTAAGCATAATCAGAAGCAAAGTGATCAAAATTATTGCAAACTCATATGCGCATTCATACAAGTACAACAACAACAAAGCTTTTTCCCAATTAAGTGGGGTCGGCTGTATGTCACTTCCTTCATTAGATCCAAGTATTCTTAAGTTTTTCTTATATTCTCTTTCAAAGTCATTCTAGGTCTTTCTCTACCCCTTCGGCCCTGAACCTCTGTCCCGTAATTTCTTCTTCTAACCGGAGCGTCAGTAGGCCAATCAGATTATAGTCTATATAATTCCTCATGATTGACAAAAACACAGAGAAAACCAGCAGCTAAACAAAATTACAAAGCAGAGCTCAAGACTGGAGTATAACTATTATACTAACTCGTGATTAAACTCTTAAACTCATAACAAGTAGTGTAAAAAACAAGAGCTTCCATTACATTCACAGCTTCGCCGCTTAATTACCTAATGGGCTTTATTAAAATCAGCAGCTGCATACTTTGTATTTGTAGAAGCTCAGCTAAAGATACACCCGACGGACCACATGTCTAATTTTAGCTGATTACAAAGTAACTTCACATATGTCCCCGATATCAATCAAGTCGTATCTTGAGAGGAGGGGATCAGAGAGAACCAAAGTTACAAGAGAACATAACAGGAATAAAAAATAAAAATGTATAATCAAAGATAATTCAGTATCAAAGTTATATGAAAACTCAGCCTTTTTTGCACTATATCAAGGTTCGAAACAAGAATTTCGAATTTTGAGTCTGATACCTAGCAGGAAAGTTAGAACTCTGAGCTAGAAGGAGAGAGAGAAAAATGTAATTGTAATTGTGTGCACCACCCCTCTCTTGACAAACAAACCAGGTAAAAATTGGGACCTGTAATGGAAATCATCGAACCAAAAACAATTCCAACCGCAAGAGAAAAAGCAGTCAACACTCTTGTCACCAAAGCACCTTGGACAAAACTGAAAAGAACCAACCCATTTGGACCAACTACAGTTGAAGGTTGACAGAAAATGTTCAACAAAAATAACATCACCAACATATTTGGACAGGCAGTAAATGATACAAATAAAGAATCACCATTTTTTTTTCTATTTGCATTTTCTAGAGTAAGAAAATAGGTTTATCAAGTATTAATCCGGTTCTATCTAGCGTTTCCAGCTTTAACATGTTCGTAGGGTTGCCTAACTCTAACCGCAAAAATTAGACACCGCCTAAACATAACTTCGTAATTCTGAGTCTTGATGTCAAACACTACCTAACAATCCCCTGCCCTAGAAAAAAGCAGTGTTCTTACTAACCACATTGTTAAAACTAGACCAGATGGCACAATAATCATGTGATGTCTGATCAAAATGTCCCTGATTAACTAATAAATATATACGACAATTTAAATGCACTCAAATTACTCGACTTCTGAGAAATCAATCGAGTTACGAAATAACATATGAGTCAACAAGAAAAAAGCACAAACAATCAAAATGCACTGATAATAGAAACCGGATAAAGCGTAACCTGTTCTCCTGTATCTAATGTCAATTTGACTATAGGTTGAATTTTTGATTTGGCATCTCTCAATGCCTCCATCTATGAGAAGGCAAGTACATTCGGATCTGACCAACATTAACATTAGAAAAAAGTGTTTATCACGAGATTGATATCACCTCTCCAGCAAACAGATATCCGATGCTACCACAGGGCAAGGCTACAAAACAGATCCCACAAGTAAGCTGCCCGTAGAAATGATGGTTTTACCAACACTTGAAAAGAGAAAAACAACCCGGTTACTAACAGAATAATTTTTTTTGGTTATTTGCCATGTACATAGCCGACCCCACTTAGTGGGAAAAGGCTTTGTTGTTGTTGTTGTATTTGCCATGTACAGAAGGAGTACAATATTGGGAAATGCGACGCAAGTACAGAAAAATGATGAAAAGATTAATATGTAACTAGGTTGAATTCAAAAGATCTGTTCGTAATATCGATTCATTATAAAGACAAATGTGGCAGTACATTCATCATTGCGATGAATTTGCTGAGACATTAACAAAAAAAGGTCGTACCCAGTGCACAAGGCTCCCGCTTTATGCAGGGTCTGGGAGAGGTGAATGTCGGCTAGCCTTACCCCCATTTATGGAGAGGCTGCTCCCAATGAGACATTAACAAAAGAAACAAAAAAAAAATTCAAATCCTATATGCTAAGAAGGAAATCACTATCTCTAATGATCAAAACTGTGAATGTGTCTGCACAAACCGTGGGAATTAGACAGTCACTGTCACCTCTGTATATCCTATATTGATCAGACACACAATCACGACCACTCATCCACAAGCAACTGATCGCATCCAAGTTGCTCCTGTGGCGATTCAACCGTTCCCAACCACCGTTCAAAGTCTAGGATCAATGGGTCAGTGCGTAAAAGATATTCTTCATCGCTAGTAAAATCAAAACCTTCAACAGGTAACGAAAAATCCCCAGTTTCTCCAAGATACTTTTCATTGCTTAAAAGAAATTCTTCTTCGCTGCCAAAGCATATTGGGTAAGTAGAAACATCATACATCGGCATTGCAACATTACCGTCAATGCTGCTTATGCACTCATCATCATGATTCATGTTGCATTCAATTTCATCAAAAGGCACAACAGAAGGAGTATTGCTTTGATCAATGGAATTAGTGATCACATTCACACTAGTAATTTGTGATCCCAGTTCTTTTCTTGCCCTCTTCTTAATCGACGGCTTCTCATTCAATAGTTCCTTTCTTTGTGTCTTTTTAACCGGCGACTTCTCATTCAATAGTTCCTTTCTTTGTGTCTTTTTAACCGGCGACTTCTCATTCAATAGATCTTTTCTTGCTCTCTTAATAGCCGGCTCCTCATTCAATATTTCTTTTCTAGCTCTCTTCTTAATTGGGGGCTTCTCGTTGAATTCTTGAGGTAAATTCATGTTTGCACACCTGGATCTGGAGCTCCTTTTAAGTCGGGAAAGAACTACTTTACGATCGGAGTGAGCAACTGGATTAGGATTAGGAAGAAGACAGTATTCTTCTAACAGCCATTCACCATCATTCTCGCACCCTTTATTTTTATAACTGAAATTCCGTTTTTCCCCAATTGGATTTCCATCCAAGGCTTCAATTCGCGAGAAGGAGGTTGCCTTCCAAGAGCCTCCAGCTTCGATAGAGCGTTTGTGGTTCTTCTTCGAATGCTGCAGCTCGTAAAACAAGAAGAGATCTTGATCGAGGAAGGAATTTCCCCCGAATTTTTCCCACACCACCCAGGGTTGTGCGCTGCCGAAGAGATTGAACTCGTGAAGAAAGGGAATGTCTAATGGCTCTCCGGCGACGGCTCTCAGACGAAGATAACTGACCAATTCTTGATCAGTTGGATGAAACCGACAGCCCAACGGCATACCCCAATAACCCAGATTCGGAATACCCATTGTTGATCGCACGCAGTTTCAATTTAATGCAAAAATAAACAAACAATACAAAAGCAACGAAACGAAACGAAATCCCTAATTGTAATTCAAATTGTAAAATAATGCGAGAAAATTAAGAGAAGAAAAAGGGAACCTGGAAATTGATTTCGATTTCGGTCTTTGTTTCTCCGTTCGCCGACCGAGAACAGAAGAGAAGCTCTATCGTCTTCGCCGGTTCGTTCGCAAGCAACTGAAGAAGCAGAAAACGTGGAATCGATTTCTGTTCACCTAGATCGCGATTGGCGTTCACAAATTCAAATCCAAACACAGAGAGAGAGAGAGAGAGAGATCAGGTGTGAGAGGGAGGGGTTTTGAAATCTGAATAAATCAAATATGACCGTTTGGGAATTGGATGTTATCGTTGGAACTTGAAAGCATTGAATGCAGGACGCTCCTCAGTACTCACCGCTTAAGCGCGGCTTTTTATCACGTGCGTTTTTCTTTTCTTTGTCATTGGCGCCAACTGAAAATTGGGCTGGGCCGCTAGCTTCATTTTATTTGTTGGTTCCAATTTTTTTTTTAAGGTTAATATTATTTTGCCCTGAAAATTTCAAGTGCGATTACGAGCTTAAAACTTTTTGAAAGGTTGTAAAATTTCAAATTATGTACGTGTGAAGACTCTAAGACAACACAGGTTACTTCTCCACATGGTGTCGTATGATCGGCACCAAATGTTACGATGATAGTGTATCTGTGTCATGTAAGTTGTTCTCATGTTCTCCGTAGTTATAATCTAACGGTGTTGCACACCACCTAGCTAGGTTTGGTCTCCCAGTAAGTTCCCCCTTTACTTTGGAGTACCTTCCTTATGTCATTCAAGACGTTCGTCTCCAAAACCAAGAAAATCTTGTTTCTTAGTTGACAAGTTAAATTTATATCACTTAAAATTTTTGTTTCATTTATGTATGTGAGCACCTCAACATATCCAAAACAAAAAACAGAAATTGTGGAGAGATCATCAGCTTCATCAGGAGGATCACAGCCTCACACATATGGCCGCTTTATCTTTGATAAGAAGAGGAGAAGCTCCGCGCACAGCTCTGACAGCTTCCACCTTGTACGGTTTTAGAGGAAGGAAACAGTCCGTTGTTGGTTCTTCCATACACCTGATCCAATATCCGTTGCTCAATGTGTGAGGCTGTGATGTGAGCTCACAAGAAACGCGCTTTTAAATCTGATTCCTGCAAGCAACATTAGTATTGAGTTCAACTTGATAATCAGTAGTTATTCTACTCAACTCTTGTAAGGAATGAAGATAGCGACTCAAAGAATAAAGTATGTTCAAATTCCTTTCTTTTACGAGTACAAACTAAAACATACAAGGGTTAATCAAGTTAATTAAACAGATTAATTAAACAGAAACGACATGAAACCCTTTTACATATCCCCGCTATGGCAAGCCCTGATGCCACAGGCTTAAGATAGTAGCTAGAAGACCAACCCAACAATGCATACTAATCACAAGTAAATAACTACTTAACACAACGCATGCTAACTTTTCCCCTCAGTAGGAGCCATTAGGAATTGAATACAAGAATCGACAGAAAACTAGGCTCTAATAAGCGACTGATTTGCAATGCCTCAGTCGAAACTTATATGCTACTCCATTCCACCTACTAAATATTGAAGGTACCGTCAATGAAAGCTTTATTGGCACGAGTCAAAATTAAATGATTCAAAGATATGCAAGAGAAGTAGGCATTCATTAAGAATTAATGAGCCCCTTGTATGGACACGAAAAACTTCATTCCATCTAACTAGAGTCACAATCAGGAGCACCAAGGCAAGAAGCCTCGTTTGAGTAAGTTACAATCATGTCCTCCTAACAAAATTATACGCATCAAGGCAAGCAGACTCATTAGACGGTATGCATAAAATTGAGTATAATGTAAGCAGAAGCTATAGAAGACTACACTAGTATATTGTATATTTCCAAGTTGAACCTTTGTGGCCCTAAGCATTACAATATGTACAATCTGAACTTTTGTGGCCTAAATCCGCGTATATCAAAAAGTAAACACAACAAACAAGGCAAACAAAAAACCAATCAAAATAATATGGCAGCAGGGTACTCCTACTACAATTAAAGCCCCTTGTTACAATCTAATAAGAGGTTAGCTACTTACCTAAATTCATGCAGTGGAGTATCTCCTGATCCTCCTCTCTGATCAGCCGGTTTTTTTTTTTCCACTTCTCAACTTCGAAACAGGGTAAAAGTCTCAACAAAGATAACTGGATATATGGATGTGTAAGAAAATTTATTGAAGATAATAAGCTTTCATGAAAAAAATATTGAGCACATTCAACTAACACATTTAATTGTGGGTGAAACTGAAAACACATTTAATATCCATTTACTGGAAAGAAAATAGTACAATCGCTCAAAGATAACTGGTAGAAAAGAACATGGAGAGACGGTGCCACAAGAAGTATGAGGATTTCTCGCTTGCTTTTACTCAACTACATTGTCATAATCTGACTAAAATAATAGGTAAGTATTCTTCTAACAGCCATTCACCATCATTCTCGCACCCTTTATTCTTGTAACTGAAATTCCGTTTTCCCCCAATTGGATTTCCATTCAAGGCTTCAATTCGCGAGAAGGAGGTTGCCTTCCAAGAGCCTCCAGCTTCGATAGAGCGTTTGTGGTTCTTCTTCGAATGCTGCAGCTCGTAAAACAAGAAGAGATCTTGATCGAGGAAGGAATTTCCCCCGAAATTTTTCCCACACCACCCAGGGTTGTGCGCTGCCGAAGAGATTGAACTCGTGAAGAAAGGGAATGCCTAATGGCGCTCCGGCGACGGCTCTCCGACGAAGATAACTGACCAATTCTTGATCAGTTGGATGAAACCAACAGCCCAACGGCATACCCCAATAACCCAGGTTCGGAATACCCATTGTTGATCGCACGCAGTTTCAATTTAATTCAAAAAATAAACAAACAAAACAAAAGCAACGAAACGAAATCTCTAATTATAATTCAAATTGTAAAATAATGCGAGAAAATTAAGAGAAAGAAAAAGCAAACCTGGAAATTGATTTCGATTTCGGCAGTTGCTTCTCCGTCCGCCGAGCGAGAACAGAAGAGAAGCTCTATCGCCTTCGCCCGTTCGTTCGCAAACAACAACTGAAGAAGAAGAACACGTCGAAATCGATTTCCGTTGTTCACCTCGATCGCGATCGGCGTTCACAAAATTCAAATTCAAACACAGAGACTGAGAGAGAGAGAGCGACAAGGAACAGAGAGATCAAGTATGAGGGAGAGATGGGTTTTGAAATTTGAACAAAGTAAATATGACCGTTTGGGAATTGGAAGTTACCGCTTAAGCGCGGCTTTTTATCACGTGCGGTTTTCTTTTCACTTTACTTGGCGCCAACTGAAAATTTGATGGGCTGGGCCGCTAGCTACATTTTGTTTTTTTGGGCTACAAATCATTTTCTTTTGTCTTGTTGGTTCCACTTCTTTTTTAGGGTTAATGTTATTTTGCCCTGAAAATTTTAACTGCTTAACACATAATTCTAATGTATAAGCTTAAAACTTTCTAAAAGGTTGTAAAATTTCAAATTATGTATGTGTGACGACTCTGAGACAACACTAGTTACTTATAAGTGTTTCTTCGCATGGTCTCTTATAATCAACAACAAACATCACGATAATGGTGTGTTCGTATCATGTAAGTTGTTCTCATATCCTTTAGTTTGGTTCGAGCACCTTCCTTATGTCATTCAAGACGTTCGTCTCCAAAACTAATAAAATCTTGTTCTTAGTTTACTAGTTAATTTTATATCACTTAAAATTTGTTGTTTCATTTATGTGTCAGCACCTCAACATATCCAAAACAAAAAAAACAGAAATTGTGGAGACATCATCAGCTTCATCAGGAGGATCACAGCCTCGAACATATACGCGCTTTATCTTCGATAAGAAGAGGAGAAGCTCTGGGTACAGCTCTGACAGCTGCACTCTCGCAGCTTCCACCTTGTACGGTTTTAGAGGAAGGAAACAGTCCGTTGTTGGTTCTTCCATACACCTGATCCAATATCCGTTGCTCAATATGTGAGGCTGTGACGTGAGCTCACAAGAAACGCGCTTTTAAATCTGTTTCCTGCAAGCAACATTAGTATTGAGTTCAACTTGATAATCAGTAGTTATTCTACTTACCTAAATTCATGCAGTGGAGTATCTCCTGATTCTTCTCTACGATCAGCTGCTTTTTTCCACTTCTCACCTTTGAAACTGTACAAGTCTCAACGAAGAACCAACATATAGCACAGTAATGGATGTGTAAGAAAATTTAATGAAGATAACAAGCTTTCATAAAAAAAACAAAAAAAACAAAAACTGGGCACATTCAACTAATACATTTAATCGTTGGTGGAAACACATTTAATATCTATTACTGGAAACGAATAGTATAATTGCTCAAAGATAACTGAGAAAAGAACATGCAGAGACGGTGCTAGAAGAAGTAAGTGGGTTTCCTGCTTGTTTTTCCTCAACTTCATTGTCATAATCTGACTAAAATCATAGGTAAGAATACAAAACATTCAGAAGCAAAAAATGTACCGTGTACAAGCTTAATCAGCAGCAACATATACAAGTCAAGTACTACAAACTACTTTGCTGGCTGGAGTAAACATAAACTCCAATACTTGGTACAGTGTTGCTATTACAGATGAATACGAGCATCCAAGCGTGAAACAAAAACCAAATAGTGTATGCTATGTGCAACTCCGGTACCGGCAGCGGAAGGAAAATAACTTTGATGAATTTTCCTAACATTTGTGTAGTTAAGAAAAAGTTAGAACCTTCAATGGATAAAAACAAAAGGAACCCCATTGCTTCGAAGCATTATCAGTCACCCAGAAAGAATTGTTGGGTGTGCATCCCAAAAGGTTGGCTCAATAATATTACAATGTTCTACAATAACTCTTTTCCCAGAATTACCATTACATTCTTCCTTCTCGTGTATCCTTGTGGTGTCTTCCTGCATACAAATAATATACAAGGTTTAAAATAAAAACTCGCATACCACAGGAAAATCATAGAGAGGACTAGCATGTAATAAACCATAAGGATAGGCTAGCCCTTTGACATCTTCAGTGGGTCTCGACTTTCATATGTGTGCGTGGGTGTGTTTCCTAGTGGCCAAAGAAATATTGTCCTACATTATTGGCGAGAGTTGGTGCATTATCTACTCAAGGCTCCAGACCTCTCAAAGCTAGGCCACCATTCCTTAAAAAACATCATATGTGGGTTTTCCTTTCATAAATGTGTGATCCTAAACAGGAACAAGGGAATCAGAAAATAAATAAACAGAGAGATGCAATTTTCTCTTTTTTGCCGATAAGAGATCCACTAGTGCCCAAACCACCTTAGTTGGGATATAGCACTAAGAAATATTCACATCCAAGTAGGAAAGAAAGATAACCTTGTCCCACAAAGCAGAAGATCCATGGCGGAACATGACTGGTAATTTGTTGTACTCGATACCAAATTGGTTAAGCAATTTCTCTTTGTCTCCTGTTTGAGTACCCTGGCAATTAAAATTTGAAAAACATTATGAGAGGGAAATGATGAGAATATAGAAACAGAAAACTTCAACAGTAAGTTTTCTTGATTGTATTTACTTGACTGAGAACTTTACACATTGTGTAGGAATATATATAGCCTTTGGCTATTTACATAGATACCCCTAACTACTTTATAACTATCTTAACTAATCACAACTAATACAATCAGTTAATGTACAGTAACAGAATTATTAACAGTAGCAGACTTAGATGACTTGTCATTCTCCCTAATACACCCCCTCAAGCGAGAAGGGGGATCAGAAATGAGGCCAATGGGAAGCTTGGAACACAGATAATTAAATCTGGTTTTAGACAGAGACTTGGTGTGAAGATCAGCTAATTGGTCTTCACTGCAGATGAACTTGACTTTGAGAAGTTGAGCCAAAACCAATTCTCTAATATAGTGATAATCGATCTCAACATGCTTTGTTCGAGCATGAAAGACAGGATTAGATGCTAAAGATATTGCTGATATGTTGTCACACCAAAGAGTAGGGAATGTAGAGAGAGGATAGTGCAGATCTTTGAGAATCTTGCAAACCCAAGTTATCTCAGCAGCTGTGTGAGCTAAGGAGCGATATTCAACCTCTGTAGAGGACCTTGCAACAGTACTTTGTTTCTTGGCACTCCAGCTGATAAGATTGGAACCCAAAAATACACAATAACCAGTGGTTGATCTCCTGTCAATTGTGCAACCAGCCCAGTCGGCATCCGAGTAGGCAGAAAGATGGACAGGACCTTTAGTGAACCACACACCATGTGAGATAGAGCCTTTGAGAAATCTGAGAACCCTTTTTGCGGCCTGGAGATGTTGTTCCCTGGGAGCATGCATGAATTGGCAGATTTGGTTCACAGCAAAAGCAAGGTTGGGTCTAGTCCAAGTAAGATATTGTAAACCACCAACAATGGAGCGATATTCAGTAGGATTGGACAGAAGAGGGCCACTGTGATCTAATTTCTTAGAGCCAAGGGGAGTGCAACAAGGTTTTGCACCCTCCATATTTGTTTTCTTGAGAAGATCCAATAAGTACTTTGTTTGATGGAGAAATATACCCTGTGAAGATCGATGTACTTCTAAGCCCAAGAAATAATGAAGAGGACCAAGGTCTTTTACTGGAAATTGAGCCCCAAGTTGCTGAATGAAGTGTTGACAGAGGTGAGGATAGGGTCCGGTGACAAGAATGTCATCAACATAGACAAGGACAATGACTAACTGAGGACCATTGAGAACAAATAAAGAAGCATCTGAGGATGATTGGGTGAATCCAAGAGAGTGAAGAGCTTGGAACAGTTTATCAAACCAAGCTCGAGGAGCTTGTTTGAGGCCATACAACGATTTCCTCAACTTACACACAGATGTAGGGTGTAAGGGATCAACAAAACCAGGGGGTTGTTGCATGTAGACATCCTCCTTTAAGTCTCCATGAAGAAAGGCATTACTAATGTCCAATTGATTGAGAAACCAATTATATTGCACACAGCAAGGGTAAGAAGGATCCGAATTGTAACCGGTTTGGCAACTGGACTGAAGGTTTCTTGAAAGTCAATACCTTCTTGTTGATGAAAACCCTTGGCCACAAGCCGGGCTTTATATCTGTCAACAGTGCCATCGGGCTTCTTCTTAATCCGGAAAACCCACTTGCAGCCCACTAAGTTTTGAGAATGGTGAGAAGGAACAAGAGACCAAGTACCAGTGGTTAGCAAGGCATTAAATTCATCTTGCATAGCTTGCCTCCAATGAGCATGCTTAGAAGCTTGCAAGTATGTTGTAGGAACATAATCCATATCAACTGGATGTGGGTGCTTAGTTGCTGCACAGGCTCTCGACGTGAGTATACCAGCCTTGGATCTAGTAATCATTGGATGAGAATTAACAGGGGCAGGAGGATGACTCTGTTGATTTTGGGAGAAAGATGAATGTGCTGAAGGAGGAACAAAACTGGAAGAAGAGCCAACTGAGACAGGTGCAGGGGAGGATGAAGATGAAGAAATAGGAACAGGCACAGAAGCACATAATGGTGATGTAGATGGCTGACTGAAAACAGGAGGAATGTGTTTGCTAAAATGAAGATCCAGAGAGGATGAAATTGTTGGTGAGGAAGATGGAGGACTTGGAACAGGAAAAGAGTGTTGATTGTGGGACAACTGAAATGGATAAGTACTTTCATCGAATACAACATGACGAGAGATGTAGATGCGATTGGTGATAGGATCAAGGCACCTATAGCCTTTGTGTTGAAGACTATACCCCAAGAAAACACACTTTTTTGCTCTTGGGATCCAATTTGCTATGAAAGTAAGGTTTGAGCCAAGGAAAGCATTGGCAACCAAATACTTTGAGCTTAGAGTAGTCTGGATGGTTGTGAAATAGCAACTGCCAAGGGGACTGTGAAATGCCAGAAATAGGAAGGCGATTAATAAGATAGATAGCAGTGGAGAATGCTTCTACCCAGAAAATATGAGGGACATGAGATGCAAGAAGCAAAGTGCGAGCTGTTTCAACAAGGTGCCTGTGCTTTCTTTCTGCACAACCGTTTTGCTCAGGGGTGTGGGGACAACTGAACTGATGAAGAATGCCATGTTTGCTGAGATATGATGCAAAAGAGTGACTAGTAAATTCACCCCCTGAATCCGAACGCAGAACCTTTATTTTATTTCCAAGTGAATTTTCTACATATGATTTGAAGACAACAAATGTAGAAAATACATCTGACTTAGATTTCAAAGGAAAGAACCAACTATATTTGCTATAGTCATCAACAATGAGCAAATAATATTGAAAACCACTACTTGATGTGATTGAGGCAGGTCCCCACAGGTCACAGTGCAGTAGTTGAAGGCTGTGAGTTGTTGATGAAGTAGCAGCTTTAAATGGAAGCTTATGATTCTTGGCAAGAGCACAATCCGAACAAAAAAAGTCCACAGTAGACTTGCCTTGTAAAGCAAGATTATTGGATGAAAGGAGCCTTCTGAAAATGGAGGAGGAAGGGTGACCCAAACGCTTGTGCCAAATTGTAACTGGAGCTTTAATACTAAGTAAAGCTGTAGGTGAAAGAGGATGAAGATTGCTGGAACTTTGAAGAGGATAGAAGCCATCTCTAACCGGTCCCCGTAAAAGCATCTTCCCCGAAATACGATCCTTGACATAGGATCCATAAGGGTCAAGTGTCAATGAACAATTATTATCATTAACAAACTGATAAGCAGATAAGAGATTATGGGTTATGTGGGGAACATGTAAAACATTTCTCAATTGAAAAGAGTTATGAGAGGTGTGCAGAGTAGATGAACCAACATTGAGGATGGATAAACCTTTACCATCTCCAATATACACTTTATCCTCGCCAGTGTAGGGAGTAGGAGAGGTGAGGTTAGCAACATCATTAGTGATATGAGAGGTTGCCCCTGAATCAATTAACCAAGGCTGAGATGGTTTAGCAGAATGCTGTGCACACATGGCAGCAAGCTTAGCTGGAGGAATACGACCACAGATGTCAGGATTCATACGATCAAAGCAGTCAATAGCCTCATGACTGGTAGAACCACAGATTTGACAAAGCACTTTGAAGTGAGAAGAGCCTTGATTGCTGCGAAAGCCTTGATAACCTCGATTGCCACGGTTATTAGGAAAATTACCACGATTACCTCGATGACCTCGATTGGAAAAGAACTGTCCCTTAGTGTTCCTGCCACGATTAGAGTTGAACCGAGAGGCAGAGTGAAGAGGGTGATTCTGAGCAGCAAAAGCAGATGGAGTAGGAAGGAGAGGAGGCTGAGACTGCACCGAGAAAGCCTGAAAAGATTCAGGGACAGGAGATGAACTGACAGTTTTGCGTCTGGCCATAGACAATTCCTTTGTGAGAAGGAGGCCATGAAGTTCATCAAGAGAGGTAGAGGACAATCGGAGCATGATACAGTCGATGAAAGACTCAAATTCATCAGGCAAGCCATGTAGTGTGGCGGCGATAAGATCTCGATCAGAGACAGAAGCACCAGCAGCTTGCAGAGAATCTGAAATTTCCTTGAGTTCTTGAAGATAGTCAGAGATGGAACGCGATCCTTTCTGAACAGATTGAAGGAGCGATCGCAGCTGATGGATATGAGCCTCTGAAATTCCACCAAAGCATTGTTCAAGATTTACCCAAAGTTCTCGAGAGGATGAAACCCCAACCGTGAACGGGATGATTTCCACAGAAAGTGTGGAATTCAACCAGATCAAAAGATTTTGATCTTTCTCATACCAGTCCTCAAAAGCAGGATTGATGCTACAATCAGGCAGAAATGGCGATGGACAGACGTCAGTACCATCGATTACTCCAAGAAGCTTGTATCGCCGGAAAATCGGGCCAAACAGGGCGCGCCATGGTAGGTAATTGGATCTTTTGAGCTTGATCGGCACCATGCTGCCGATGTTATGAATTGTGAGAGAAGTGTAGGAAGTCAGAGGACTCGGATTTCCAGAGGAATTAGGGTTTCCAGAGAAATTAGGGTTTGGGCTCGAGGGGGAGATGACCGGAGAAGATGAACCAGTCGATTGAGCCGCCATTACTGACAGAAATCAAGAAATACTACAAGATCAGAAGGGAAGAAGTGACGATCAGAGAAGAAAAAATCGATCAAGAGTCGATCGATGCAGCAAGCGAAGAGAAAGATCGAAGCTGTGAAGCGGAATGGCGTGATACCATATAGAAACAGAAAACTTCAACAGTAAGTTTTCTTGATTGTATTTACTTGACTGAGAACTTTACACATTGTGTAGGAATATATATAGCCTTTGGCTATTTACATAGATACCCCTAACTACTTTATAACTATCTTAACTAATCACAACTAATACAATCAATTAATGTACAGTAACAGAATTATTAACAGTAGCAGACTTAGATGACTTGTCATTCTCCCTAATAGAGAATACAATAAAATGGATTAATAATAAAAGGAAAGCAGAATAAAAGATTAATTAGGTATAGAAATGCTAAAAAGTTAAAATTTAATAAAAGTGAAGGATAGGTCATTATGAAGGAAAAATGTGTCCCAAATATACCTTCAGGACGAGCTGAGCTTCACTTTTTCTTTTTCCAGACTTAACAAGCTCCCAGAAACAAGTATTGTATTGGTTGTTAATGTGGCCTGAAACCCATAAGAAATGTAAGTCCAATAAATTTACCACCTTATCCAGATGAAATTCATATTTTAATGCAACCTTAACAAATTTGAACTGATGTATTGCTTCGAGATTTTATTTACTTAGAATGACAAGACTTAAACCTATTATCCTTTGGAAAATTTAGAGCTGAATACTCACAATCGACTTGTCTCCAGGATAGATAATCTCGAAGAATTTCATATGAAGGATAGCAGACAGCACGCCCATCAAAATATGGAGGGTACTTCAACTCTTTTTGTGGGAAGAAATCTTTCCATTTCATAACGTACATGGAAGTGAAGAATGACACAATAACAGATACCATCTCACTGCAGAATTTTAGTAATTCCAATATAGGTAAGAAAGATCAATCTGATTTGTAGGGAAGAAAAGTGATTCAAGGGTAAGCATTATGAAGAACCATGGCAGAGATGTAAGGTACCGTAAACCAGTGAAAACAGTATTTTAGAATCCAAGAATAAATATACTCCATATAGAGTATCCAGTTAGCATACAAAATTTAGGAAATAAGAAAGGTGACAGAAGCAAAACCTTGCTTGCCTCTGATAGAATTGAGAATCCTTCTTCAAAACAAAGCTGTAATAACAGAAACAATGAGATTACAGATGATATAGACCACAAAGTTCAGATACAAAACATATTCTATACCTGTATTCGTCACTGACTCCATAAGAGAAAACCAAGTCTTGGAACTCTTTTAGAACAGCCACTGCACATGAATTCATAAGGTTGATAGCTTGCTCATCATTCGGCTTCACAAATTCATGAACTTCAGAAAACCTTGCAAACCCAAACAACTGAGAATCATTTCTTGAATCTTTCGAGGATAATTAACAATAAAAATAACATGCATCCATAAAGAAAACTTGATTATTCTGAGTTGTAGGTTAATTGCGGAATGGCAGAAAAGTTGCATCCCTTAGTTTGTTAAAGCGGAGACTACCATTGTTGTTCTTTGTAGTTAATGTGATAGATGACAAACATGTTTAAAAGAGATGTCTGATTTGCACAACAGGTGAAATAACAAGGACCTAATACTTCAGTTGCACCCACTTGATAATATGACATGGGAATTCCTCATAGAGTGATCTAATCTAAGTCAATTTTTGTAACCTGTTAAAATTTTATGATTGGAACCATTTGTAAGGATATCCCACAAGGTGACTCTACCACCCCTAATAATTAGCAGCCCAAGAGAAGACAGTCACAGTAACAACGACCATAATTATGTTACCCTTGTCATGTGAGTAACAGTTTACCTGTGAAAATGGCAACCATCGATCCTAATTACAACCCATGTTGATGGGATCAGTTTGTCTTCATGCTGGAAGGACCTAATATAATCAGGTTCAACTTTTCCAATATCCTTTGTAAAACAACCAAGTTCCTTCTGAAGATGTGTGTGCTTGTTCCAAAAACTTCTCTCAGCTATATTCTTCGAATGGACCATGCTTGACTTTCTCCTAAGTCTCTTGACAGGAGAACCATTTTCATTGTGCTTCACAACTTCAAACACCTGAACAATGTACGATGGAGATCTCAGAACAATGTACGATCGGCAAACCAAATAAATTTTTCTTAACAGAAAATAAAAAAGGCACAGTATTTGTACCAATAGACACCCAAATTCTTTTCAAATAGACAAGTTAAGATCCAAGGTTCTTGGACTTTGGAGCAAGTTTGTTATTTCTCTACTAAGAAATTTCCAATACAAGATCATATACATGATTTTGTTTCCTAGAGGCCGAAAATCTTGTCCCCATAAACTTCAATTTGGTTATTATGTGCTACATCAAAAAGATATCCCACGTTATACAGCATGAAACCAGTATCATTTGACGCACCAAAACTTCATCAAATGACTCTGAAAATCAAAACTAACTAGTTTTTGAAACCCATAAGATACTAATTTGAATTCCTAAGGATTTGCTCATAATAAACTAAACCAAATTGTTTTTTTTCTTTTCAAATAATCATTTCCAAAGCTTGAATACGAAAGAGTGGTTCTAACCGACTTGACAGTAGGTGTTACTTTGGCAGAGAAGTTTAGTTTGAATCTAAAATTTAAAAAAAAAATGAAAAAAGTCAAGTGCTCAAGTGTCACATGAGGTAAATTCTTGTGGTATTGTTAAAATCTTCCCAAAACAAGAAATTGAAACCTTTGCTGAGATGAGTAAGATAGACTCCACTACAGAATAAAAGATTACCTCTGTTTTCAAAACGCAAGATCCTTGTCGAAACATTGAATGCAACTTTTGATAGTTGATATCACACTTTCTGTAAAGAAGGTCATTTTTTTCTTCCTTGCTGCTGTCCTGCAGAATACGTAGATGCATGACAAGTGAAAAAAAAACTGCAAGCATAAAAAGAACATTTAGCATGCCAATTTGAACGTTAAAAATTATTTATATCATAGAAGAAAAATAATCCACATTCAAAAGAAAAAGATAGGTACTTTCTACCATATACCTATTCTCAAATGGTTAAACTAGAAAAATTAGGCCATTTTGAAAGATGGCAAAGAAGAGACTGTAGAGATTGATGATACAAATATTTGAGTATCTAATAAGTTAGTGATAACATAATGTTAAAAGGGAAATGACAGAAAAATGAATATAATTACAAGGAACTAGTCAAATTCAAGTGTCTTCCACAGATAATCATGCATATTAATATGCCAATTAGTGCATAAAATGAAAATTAATTCTTCCCACCTTTAGTAAGTCCACTGCTTCGCTTTTGGTCATTCCAGATTTAATTAGCTCCCATAGGCAGGTGTTATGCAGGTTATTTGTATGACCTGCAAAATGCAAAACGTAAATGGAAAATTTACTTGAAAATTTTACTTGAATCAGAGACCTATTAGTTGAAGATAAGTATAGTAACTTCCATACTCGAAACATCATTGCAAGACTACTCACAATTGTTTTGTCTCCACAAAAGATATGACTGAAGGACTTCTTCTGATGCACAGCGTATAACATGTGCATGAAATGAAGGGTTGTACATTAATTCCTTATGAGGGAAGAATTCTCTCCATTTCATGACATATGCAGAGGTGAAGAAAGATACGATAATGGTCCCTACTTTGCTGCACGTAAAAATTGTACGTAAATGAATGACTTAACACAAACTGAAACTGAATACAGACCATTACCAAATTTACCTAAACGATAATCCACCAAATAAGATTGGTGTCAGTTTCTACAAGATAATAAATAATAAATTTATAATTCTTTTTATTTTTCATCCCCATAATTAATAAGCCAAATCACCTATTTTCTCTCAAAAACTACCTCCCCGACTCCTACTTCTTTGAATATATAGCGTTCGCCAACACAGATTCACATCCGCAGAGAGATACATTGTCTTTAGTATACTTTTCTTCCTCTACGTATTTCAACTTGATCCAAATCAACCTAAAATATTTCAAATTCCAGTAAGAGGGTGACATGGGTGGTTAACAACTAATTTGCACAGTTTAGCGATAAGTAAGGCACATTCAACCCGAGAAATTCAATTTGGACCTGATTTAGTATAATGTACAGAAATGAACATATTAGTTCTGAACCGATATTCATTTTCTTCAACTCAGAGTGCCCACCAATCATTTTACAAACATCTTAGCTGCATCACAGGCCAAGAGAGCTGAATTAAAGTTGAGAATTAAAACCTGGCACGCCTTTGGTAGAACCTGGACGTCTTCTTGAAGACAAAGCTACAAGCACAGCGCCAAGAAATAACAGTGTGAGGCTCTCTTACAGCTAAGTTAACATAAACGAAACACATATACAGTACTACCTGTATTCATCACTGAAGCCATATGAAAACACTACATCTGGAAATGCCTCTGACACAGAAATTGCGCATGAATTCATCAAATTCAGAGCTACCTCATCATTTGGTTTCTCAAATTCATGAACTTCAGAAAACCTAACCAGAAAAGAAAAGGAAAAAAGGAGAACGTCACCATCCACATCGCCTCAAGATCAGAGAGAGAGAGAGAGAAGTAGGAAGCACCTTTGAAAATCACGACCATCAATCCGAACAACGATCAAATTGGGCCGGAAAACCTCGTCTTCAACTTCATACGACTTGACATACTCGTATTTACTGTTTGCCATCTCCACCACCTCTGCGAACGATCTCTCAGCCTCGAAATTTGAAGCCCCAATCACAGGATCGCTTCCTCTCTTGGGTTTGTGGCGCGCGCATAAACTGATGGAGTGTAGCGGTTTTAGGATGAAAAGACAAAAAAGCCCCTCTTGATCTCCAACACTACCAGTCTGCTACTGACGAGTAATTAACCCAATTTCATAAATGTCACTTTTTATAAAAGCTTTCGCATATAACAGAAAACTCAAGTGAATAGACCTAAATACCCTAAAAATCCATATCCATATATAGAAGAAATTCAAGAAAGTTGAAGATTCATGATTGCAATCATTGGTGTCTTAAACAAGCGCACCAATTCCTCATGCTTGGAACGAATTGTTGTTTCTCCATTTGCTCCATTAGCATATTTGCATCTTGAACAAGCGCACCGATTCTCATTTGCATGCCAATGCATCGTGTTTGGGCAATACTCAGTCACAAGCAAGGCGCTTAATTTTTAGTGGTACACACCAGAGTGCTGATTGAGGTTTAGCACACATACAAACATAGGCATGATGAGTTAAAACATATGGTAATCAATTTTTTTTTTCTGCATAATGATAACAAGATATACAAACTTCAAGAGGCCCCAAAAATGCAAATGCATTCTTGAAAACCACATCACAGCTATGAATGTGCCTTCAACATCAGGCACACTCAAGTAGGGCTGGGCAAGGGCCGGGCCGGGCCCAATTTTGAAGGAATCGGACCGGACCGAAGTTTAAAAGAAATGGACCGGTCCGGGGTGGGTACAACATATTTTAAAATAGGAATCGGACCGAACCTGGCCCGTTTGAATTTTATTTTATTTTTATTTTTTTTGGGAAAAAAAACACTTAATCCACAAACAACCTACACAACCCAACAACAAGAAATAGCCGCACAAATGCATCTTTTTTGTTGAAACCAACTTAAATAGATTTGGGCAACAAAAACCTTCGTATAAAAACACCAAACGCAAAGGCTAAAACCAGAATCACAAAACAAAATTAGAAACAGATGAGATCCAAGTAACACCTAGAAGGATAAAAAATAGACTAAGCAACTCCCAAACTCCAGTTTAGGACTTTCCAAATACAAATGCATGAATCTTCACTAAAAAACCTCGCTGACAGGATTTGATAGTGAAGTCATACATTGGTCAAGCACTAAGACCCAAGATTTGATCCCATGACTGGCCACAAACAGTTTCTTCATTCGAAAAGGAACAAATGACTCAACCACAGAAATCAATGTAAAATGCAGGTACTCCATCAATACTTCGATACGATTACAGAACAATATCAATACAAGCTTATGCAGGAGATTTAAAAACACCATTAGAAAAAAAAAAAGGACAAAATCAAGCAGTACCAGAAGATACCATAAAATAAAATCAAAAGGGAAAAACAAACTCGGATCCAGAGGCAACCACAAAGTCTACTAAATAATCAATAAGACATGCTGGTCATACAATATGCATGACTTAATTGAGAAGAAAGAACAAAGTTTCTGGGTCTATCAACGCGTATGACAACAAATCTATAGAAGCATTAGAAATCGTGGTTTCCTTGTGGCATATCTAGATCAACGCGTATGACAACAAATCTATAGACCGACGATTTTACCACTCAATCGAGTATCAATTAAGGCACATGTTGTTTGCATAAGAAAGAAGGTGATCTTACCTTGGACCAGGACCAGTACTGGATAAAGCCAGAGGAGGCAGAATGCTCGCAAAGCTAAGAGGGGGCGATGAACCGTTTGCCGACGCAGATGAGGCCGTGGGTTGGAGAGGCGCAGAGCTTACAGTTGAGTTGCTCGGAGGACTCGTTGATGGGTGACTTCGGATTTTTCTTCGAACCCGCTGGCCTCCTAATAGTTTTACGCAGCAAACCAGAAAAAATGATCCAGAATTAGGAGATGATTAAGTGTTTAAGTGATTAAGTGATACCAACCAACCACAATCGAGAAGATGGGTGGTGCGGGTGCCTGGGTGGAACCGTGGAGGGGAAGGGACGACGCACGCGAGACGACGAGAGAAAATCGAGTGACAGGGTCGAGGTCGAGGACGAGTAGACATAAAACTAACGGTTAAGATTGGATGGAGAGATGATCTCTTCAATCTCATCCGTCCATTGCAATTACAAACGGGCCGGTCCAGTCCTCGTTTTCTATACTTCTGGAATCGGTCCGAACCTAAAATTTCAAAGCCCCGCCCCGTCCCGTTCCGTTTCGTTTTTCTTTTTTTAAATTAGAAACCGTTCCGCCCGGTTCCGTCCCACCTGACCCGCGGTTCCTATACCCATTTGCCCACCCCTACGCTCAAGGCCTTAGATGCAAATCTAATTTGAATTTAGTCAATGAAAATAAACGAGAATAAATATCGAGAAAGTTTTGAAACAATGAATATTCATGTTTTGTAAATTTATCTACCTCACTAGCTAGAAGCAGGCTAGGGCACTCATCTGCACTGGGTAGAAAATCATCGTACTGTAAGAATTAATGTGATTTCATCATTCATGAATTCATACATGTGAGTTCATCAAACTACCAATTGCAGTTGAACTTGGTAAATGAGCTATATATATATATATGGTTAGACTTCTTAAGGTTTTACATTCGAATGAAGTAAAACACACTAGAGGGAAAATTATGATCAAGTCATATTTAAATTAATGAAGAACAGTTGGCTTAATAATAACTGAAGATAACTGCATTATTAATGGGATAAGGTAGTTATCTATATATATAAAGTGAGAAGGATAAAAGGTGAAACATTCAAAATACCAAAAATTGTCTTCAAGAATTCTAAAAATTACAATTGAATATATATATATATATATATATATATATATATATATATATATATATATATATAAAGTGAGAAGGATAAAAAGGTTAAACATTCAAAATACCAAAAATTGTCCTTCAAGAATTCTAAAAAGGGCGCTTTTATTAACACCCCCATGATCTTATGAATACACCCCAAGTTCAAAATTATTTTCTAAAATTCCAATTTTAGCCCTTTTATTTGTTGAAGACACCCCACCTTTTTACAATAGTTAACAAATGAAAACCTTCCAACATCCTATCTCAACAGCTCACCTACTGCCACCTTTTTTGTCAATGTCGTCGACCAATGATAGCCACCTCCTTCCCGCCGTTCTCTCTCTCTAGAATTCTCACTTTTGCTAATATTCTACAAGACATGGAATACTATAAAATTGAAATTTTTAATGCCGAAATCAACCTAATCAGCTAGGGATACCTACGTGATGGGCGGGAAAAATCTGGAAAAATGTTACTTGCAGAGAAGCAATCCTTCCGTAGTCAACTAGGAAGTGACTTTCTATGAGTTTAATTGTAAGTGACTAGGAATTGACTTTCTATGAGTTTTAATTGTAAGTCGGCATATGTTTTGGTATACTTAAGATCATTTGGTGGGTGACTGTCGAGGAGTAGTATGGTGAAGAAGGTGGTGCTGATTTTGTTTGTTTGTTTGCTTTTTATCTAATTTAAATAAGGGTAACATAGGAAGTCCAAACCAAATAAAAGAAAACGGGGTGTATTCATAATATTGTGGGGTGCCAATAAAACTACCCTTCTAAAAATTACAATTGAACCATAAGAATTTAAAGTAATTCACCACATTATAATTTTGAATGAATTTTAAATTTAAAACTTTCACTGAAAAAAAAAACTACCATGTTAGTGGGTGGTTTCATGGTTTTGCTTCAATTTTTTTTTTTGAATAATTTTTTAATAAAAATATAAAATAGTTACTTAAAAAAAATAAAAGACATAATTTAATATAAAAAGGTCAATTGTCACACGTGTATGCATGTGGCAAGAGGCTAGTCAGAAATAGAGTGGGATTGGTCCTTCTTCTCGGTATAAATATGGATGATTCAAAATTAAGTAAGGTTGCCTCATTTGAAACCTGATACATCCATTGTAGTTGTACAAGAGAAGGGAAGATACATCCTACTGCAGATCATGGCTTCAAGTTTAGGTTTGCATGCTTATTCATGCATATCAGTTCATGCATAGATTTGGTATAATTGGGCTCTATCGCTCAAGCGGCGGTATGATTGAGTTCTGCCGCTCAAGCGATGAATTCTACAAATGCAAACCTTATTATCCAACATGTGATATTTATTGTAGTAAATATTAGAGTTTGTCGAATATGCCATTTGTGTTGATTTACATGTATTTTAGTAACTTGATTGATTGGATCCTAAATTATATTAATTCTATCATGTGGTATCAAAGCCAGGTTCCGATCCTGGGACCTGTGGGTTAGCTGCCAAAAGTTGTCTTCCTTATCAAATGCGTACAAAATAAGGTATGCTAACTTCATATTCCAATCTGTCTGCCATTGACTATTTTTTCTCATTGAAAAACTAAGTAATTAGAGGATGCCGCAATTGAGAAAATTTTCCATTACATTACCAACTACATCGTTATGTTTATTTGGTCTTAATGTGAGGGTATTTAAGTCTATTTAAGTGGGCTTTATGTTATTTTCAAAAGATTTTAGAAAAAAATTACATTTATGAAATTGTGTATTAAATTTTGGCTATTACCGGTAAAGATTTTTTCCTCAAATAGCCAGACCCAAATGTTCCGATGTACGTATTGGACGATTCTAGCCTGCAAGTACATATCGTCAGTAACATGTAATCAACAGATGAGGGCGGGCTTTTTGTTGCAAACTTCACCTTAGGCATCAAATAAAAGGGATTTTTATAGAAATCCCTAAAATGCATCCTCATATATATCAACCATCACTTGATTATCCAAGGTGCAATTCAATAAGATAAACATCCATAAACATATTTCACTCCAACCTGGACCATATCTGTTACATTGCACCAAAAGTTGGCGTCTCGTATCTTCTCAATCTAAACACTTTAATGCCGAACAAATTGCTGTATGCAGAAAAAGGATAGAAAAACATGAGAAATATATAGTTGTTATGCATTGCAAGAAGCAGCTATTTCAATAAATAGATGGTTGAGGCGATCATATGAACCATGATAATCCAATCACTGTCACTTGCAGGATAACCCATCTAGGCTGCAATCCTGACAATGGGTGAGATTATTGGCTTATATGCACAAAGGAAATAGCCTTGCAGCTTCCACCAACGAATGTTTTATAATGGTAAAGTTAGGGCCATTTACATGTTCTACCAAGTGAGATAGAGCATCAACAATTGAGGAGAACTTATAAGAATTTTCAGGATGCAGTTGCAGCACAGAATCATCCATGTTGATGTAGTTGTTAAACGATAAAAACCAAATAACAATTATGATGATGTTAACAGCAACAATGGTACTTTCATGATCATGATCCTCTGAGAGAGAGGCTAAATGCAGTTCATAACACAAAGAATAACATGAAATGGATAAAAAGATACTATAAAGTATGTCCACTACTCTAGGCACCAATCAGTTGTTAGCAGTACAATATTGTCAAAATCATATAAGATAGGAAAAGCATAAACTATAAGCAATGATGTTGTACCTTTGAATTCCTGCTTCCACTTCCATTGTGAAAAATCTCTCGATCATCATATGTGATCTCATACAGATTCTTTAAAAGTTTATGAAGATAATTTGTAAGACACTAGTATGCAAATGCACCACATAGCTTGTATACGCAGAAACTGATAACCTGACTTAACATTTTCCTAGTATTCTTCTAAAAGGGAGGAGGGTGAAGTTCTACCACTGCTGTTTAATGTCTGCATGCGTGAATGAAATATTTATATATGTGTTCATGGATGGATCCATGCATTTAAATCAATTATGGATAACTATGGATCCATGGTATTTAGACACATGATGTATGTGTACATTGTTGACATAAAATACATGGATTTATACATTTGTGTATATGTGTTGGGTGTTGTGGAGGCAATGCATACAGCCAGTCGGTCCTCATAGAAACTTTTATCAATATGACAGTTAGAAATTCATGTACTACTACGAGTTTACACATTTTAGAGGCACAAGTTCTCATTAGGATATTATCCATACACAATTAGCATAGAAATAGAGAAGTAGAATCCTCTACTGATCTTTTTGGTGTTGATCTTGTGCTTATATCTAAAACAACTCCTGTTTGAAGTTTAAAGGTTGAGAGTTTTGGATTAAGGGATCAGCCCGATCGTTGGCAGAACATCATCATCAAGCTGAGTTTATATTACCTTCAGTCGTGGGTTTTCTCTCAAGCTGAGAGTTTCTTCTCACATCTTGTGTGAGGCGTTCAAACCACAGAAATCCTATTGGTGCCAGTCCTGTAAAGATGTATTAGGTGGTTCAGATTTAGACAAGTGTACGTAGATTAGGTTGCTAGGTAGTTAAAGTTTGTTAACTTACTTAGTGACTAAGATAGCCTTGTCTATATATATATGTAGATATTGTAACACAAATGATTCATTCAATACATAACAAGATACAATTCATTTCTCTCTCTAAGATTGATATTCTCTCAAATCTCTCTTTCTCTCTCAAGAATACATATGACAATCAAGAACTTCTTTGTATTCTGACATGGTATCCTCGCCGGTGATGACGACTTCTCGATCCTGATCTGTGTTTCTTTTTGCTTCCGCATTCCTGATCGCTTTGCTCTGGTGTGCATTTCTGCTCTTGATTTTCCTCTCTTTATAGCTTTGTGAGGTTGTGTATCTGCGCAGTTGCTTTCTTGCCGTTTCTGTCTCATTGTGCACGCCAAGTGTTTGATTAATTGCTTCTTCCACGATTTGTTTGCATTGATATCGTCTTCCAAGATATCTCCACAATTGCATTCCTTGTGAGTTGTTTGTCCGATTCGTCTCTCTGACTCCATAGATTTGTGATCGTTTTCTCCTGAATTCTCAAATTCTTGCAAATATGGTGACTGCTGCACAATTACAGATTGTACAGTCTCCAATCACGACTCTCATTTCGAATGTCTCTAATTCTGTAACTGTGAAGCTTGATGATACAAATTATCTGGTATGGAATTATCAGATTCGATTGCTTCTTGAAAGT